ATCTAAGGGCATAACATGTAATTTATAATAATGTAATTCACTTTCATGTTTCACTTTTCTTACATATCGATACTTTGCTTTTATAAATGACATGTTAAGCCCTTATATTTACTTATATTCTTTTTTTTCTGAATTCTGCTAGGAGAAGTATTGTATCATTTATTGAAAAAGCCTAAATCCATCTACTAGTTCCTTGTAAGAGATATTAAATGAAAATTGTAAGACTGTCAACTTTTTAAAGCAGTAACAATAACAAAACCTTTCAACATCAGGTGTCTTGGACAAAGTAATTACAGGGTTTAAGGCTGAAAGTTAATTGGTAAATATCGAGAGCAGATTTGTGAATTCTGAAATGTAGTGACATACTTTAATAATTACAGGCCATACTTTGGGAGCTGAATCATTTTATAAATTGCAGAACATGAGCAATTACAGGTTTATGTAACTTTTTGTGTAAGATTAAATAGTGCTTTCCTTGTCTGCCCACTGTAGCTTATTCACAATGCTTTATGATTCTTCCTCCTAACCATATACTGTAATTACACACATATTCTGGGGTCCATTCTTTATTGTTTCATTATGAATTTTCCATGTCCAGAGCTTGTCAAATCTGTAGGCCTACGATATATTATGTGATTCATAAAATGTACAGCAGTGATGGAGTCTGAGAAAAATGAGAGGATAGTGCAAAGACATTACATGAAGGGCAAAGTGAAATATGTACCAATGGAATAATAATGCCAACAACTAATTTCAAGCTACTGTAGCAGCTGCAAAGTATATCATGAAATTCTGCAAAGGTGCAGCTTCAATCTGAGAGAATTCATTTGAAATTTATCGTTCAAGCTCATTTAAACTGCCGGTTTTGACAGTAGACTAATGCTGTGACGAAACATGTCCCCTAACTCCATTTAAAAGCAAACCTACAGCACTGTCTAGTGTAGCATCTTGCGATTTCGAAGGAGACAGGATTACATCTTAACATCCATCCCCCTGAAGTTTCTTTCAAATCAAGGAGTGGTTTTCGAAGAATAATGTGCCAAAACATGGTAAAGCTGAAACACCTGCTGAAGGTTAGGAAGTAGAAGGTCATCAAAGATTGTTGAAAGGATTTTTAAAAGGATAGGCATGAAGGAGGATGTGCCATTTTGTCTGCTGGGAGACATATTTATAAATAAATAGGTGGTTTATGTCTACCTGAAAAAGCAGCTTGTGGTCAAATATATACAGTAAATGGCTTGAAATAAAGTTACTAGCATGTACTCTACATTTAATTTAGTGAGCTGTACAGAGAACTGTGGGCTATACCGTAAGTCTTATATTTGACACTCAGGATAACGTGGCTTCTTCTCGGGTCAATGGAATTATGGGAAGGCTGGGACTTATTTCTTGACCGGGGAAACATGTGCTACACCCTAAAGAAACTGTAGGAATGTGCCGTTTTATGAACTTGGCAGGTTTTTATTCTTCCTATTTATCCATAACCGCTTCATTATAATTTCATGAAGGGTTAATAAGAGGACCTGGATTGTCACTATTAAACATATTAGAAGACGCTATCTGCAGGGCCTAGTGCTTATAAAGTCCTTCCCTGGAGGTGTAACAGGGGGCATACAGTAGCTGAGCTGACTACTAAGTGTGCCTTCTTTTTATTCATCTACACATCAATCCGATCGGAATGAAAAAAGTGGCATTTCATATTTAATTGGTACATGAACACTGTGCTTGCCATTGGCACGTAAGCTAAGGGCATGTGGCAAGATTTTCTTGACTTTATGTTGTATTTTGTGAGGTGAAATCAGGGCTACTATATTAATTTTACACCTTTCATCTTCCACATAACTTCTTGGGTTGGTGAGACTGACTACGTTGTAGTCAGCGAGGAGTCTGTGTGCTTGTGTACACATGTGGTTTATACTGTACTGTATGTTACATTGTGTAATAATAGGCGCAAGCAGCGAGCGTCTTGCATCTCACACCTGTCCTGTCCTGGCCTGGCAGGAGCTCCTCGCCCATCAATAGCTTGTTGAAATCAAAAAGGAAGCACCCGCATAAAGAGTCCTTAATATGGCGCTGGACCACCACGAGACCCCAGAGCAGCTTCAGTGCACCGTGGAATATACTGTATTCTACAAGTGTCTGAAACATAGAAACATGGGCTAAAATGGACTGTGGCATTACAACACTGATACGTCTTATTTTACAGTGTTCCAAATGCCCATCCACACACTTTCAAAAAGATTTCATATCTACCTGTGTTTCTAAATATTTGCTCCATACTGGTCCACTTTCCAATGTACTGTAACTGCCTTGATGTTTCAGAATTAGACTAATCCTAGAAAAATAAGGTGTACAATCACAAGTTATACACTACATTGTGTTACCAACGCCTTTTATTGTGAGGTACAGTACTTGTTTTCTTTCAGTGCTGTGGAATGAAAGGAATGAATGAAAAGGTGGGCTTGTTTTGACCTATTTTATACCATTTCTACAGTATTGCAGTTTCCTTTCAGTTCATTCTGTCAACACGGACTCACAATAACCTTCCTGACTTTCCTAGAGCAGAGTAATTTTAATGAATGTATCCAAAAAGGAACAGATTACAGAGGTGTACCGAAACACAACAATAAACCAAGGAGATGAATACACCAAACCATTTTGTTACCACACAATTTTGTTGTATTTATGGCAATTATTGCTGGGAACAGTACCGCAAAGAGCAAATTAATTTACTGTATGCAAGTGATATGAGGTGTTCTGTACAGTTGAAAATGAAGATGAGGAAATGCTTAATATTTTAAACACTCTTAACTAACTTGCAGTCCTGCCCCCAATATTCCAAACAAGGTTATACTACTAGATAGTTACACAAGATGGACATTGAAAGAAAATTCAACTCATTGTGCACGTGTCTTAAACTGTTGCCACAAAGAGATAATGCTCAAAAACTACTGAAGAAAGATGTATATATAACAAAATTAGAAGCAATTCAGAACATCCCTGCAGGAATGAAGAGAGTGCAGTGTGTACGAGTGATGTTTTGCCAGGAAGACCTTCATTAGTTGATAACTCTATCAGGGAAGATAGTGAAGGAATGACGGGGGAGAACACAATATGCATAACTTTTTACTTAAAAGACTTAAAAGACAGCAGAAATATTTCTCATGGGATTGTTGGTATTCAAATACCGCACATTATATTCATATTTATCTCCCTTGTCAAACATTCGTTTAAACGTTAAAGAAAATCAAGTGTATTACATACAGTATGTAGACATTTCATACATCTGGGGAACTGATGAAAATATTTTTTTTAATACTTCTGCATTTCATAGTTGTAGAAGCTGCGCTAGTAGTATCAGACTGGTAGGATCAAATCCTGTTTTGTCCATTATTTAAATTTGCTTTTTAAAAATCAGATTTTTTTAACATACTGTATAAAACATCTGCAGTATGGTGATTCAAATATTTAAACAACACATAAGTATGAGTACAAAATATATGAAATGGGATGTAGAATCTATAAATACAGATGAAAGGACCGGCAGAAGTTGGGATGAAAATCTGAAACTTTAAGTAGAAAAAAATTTTAGAGCATGTGTTTGCGTTAGATTGTGTGTAGGAAAAAAGTACAAATATTTTTACTGCTTACAAAAATTGCTCTGAAAGCTGGGAAGGTTTCCCTTGAAGGTTCTATTGGCGATAACTTCAGCATACATCTTCAGGGGTCTAAATGTTCCTGGCATGAGTTGGATAGTTTGATGAGTCTCAGCATCTTGCCTTAAAGCTGTAGTAAACAAGAACTGTGCTGAATACAGCAGATTACAACCCATGGAGAGCTCTTAGCTATCTTCCTTTCAGCTCTGGCCTTATCTTAATTACATTTTTATTCCTTAAAGACAATAAGCCTGTTATTATAGTGCATTCTGCATTTTCCAGAGTCACCAATTTTCACTCTGCCTCCTGGAGAACCAGTGTTAGAGAAATATTTCAGATTAAAGCAGTTACAGAGCAGCACGGATGAAACAAGTGGATATTGAGAGGCCATTAGGCAGACGATAAGTGTTACTGAATTACACAGCAGAAGCTGCACTTTGCCTATCCCTCCCCCCAGTGTCAAGTGACCCCTGACAAATAGCTTCATTGGACAATAAAGCAGGGCTTTTCACTCAGGCTCAGGTGAACTAATGTAAAAGCCAACACATCCTGGTAAAAAAATATATCTTGTGGTTCATTTGAGCATGCAATATTGAAATCATAACTGTAATACTAAACTGAAGTTGGTCATGTGGGGAAAAGAATGTCTAAGCCCAAGCTGTGTGTGACAAGTGGGACTTTGATCTACACAGATATATTGCTTATTTTCTTTGTTTGCAGTTAAATCTTGTGTATATTTTTTAGCGCTCCGAAATCTCCAATTTCTTCAGTGTACTAAATGGTGCTTAAATCAAGTCTGAACTGCGGAAGCATGAAAATACACATTCATTTTGGATGTGCCTCGACATGCATGTGTACGATTAAGCCGCGGAAGGAAGGTTAAATGAAGGGTTTGACTAATATCTAACTATGAAATTTTGGCCAGAAAAGTGCGAGCCGATTTTCTTTTGCAATTAAATTCTGAACAGATTGCCTCCGAAATCGTAGTAGATCCGCCAGTGGCTTTTTCAGCCGATATTTGCATATGGCGACGGTCGTGTCGGATGTACAGTAAAATCGTTCCTTTACAATAGTGAGCGTACTGAGGGGCAACATCGAGAGTTTCGGTTTCTGTGAAATCTTTAGTCTGAGTGCGGTATGGAGACACTATGAGTTGTAGGCGAGCGATCTTAGAAGCTCACAATACAAATATTTGGACTGGTAGTGCTTCTGGTGCTACGAAAACACAATAGTTGTGTTATGGAGTGGCTCATGGTGCCCAACAGGCTTCCGTAGTTTATGCTCGAGGTGCTCTCTCGCCGCCGTACTGTGTGCCCTCCTGACCTGTTGCCTTCTGTGTTGCAGCAGTCTTATGCACCAGCGCCTCACCCCATGGCTCCCCCCAGCCCCAGCACCAACAGCAGCAGCAACAGCGGAGGCGAGCAGCTGAGCAAAACCAACCTGTACATCCGGGGCCTCCCTCCCGGGACCACCGACCAGGACCTCATCAAGCTCTGCCAGCCGTGAGTCCTCGCGAGCGCGCCCGCCGACCCCGAGCCCGCCGACCCCGATCGCGCACACCCCCCCCCCCATCGCCGGGGGACCCGTGTCCGTCGCAGCTCTGCCTGAGATAAGGTGGCGCAGTGAGGTGGCCGTATCGTCTAGCCTTTGTCACTTCGAACGCACACGCACCACTGAGAAATGTGTGGCGTTTTTTTAAATAGACTTGTTTTTCTTTTTTTTTAAAGCTACATTTCAGATCCTCCTTTGCTTGCTCTGTTGTTTTCCTCTGAAGTACAATGCCTGAATGCTCCCAGCTTCGATGAATCAGGCCAATCGTGGGGAGATTCGTTTAACCCAGCAGCAGAGATAAGAATCTGCTGTAATATTTCACAATGAGCATCATAAAAGGCCGGGTGGAGCTGAAGTTTTTTCATGTCGGGTCTGCATAGTTCTAAAACCGTTGAACCCGGTGAAGTATTTTGAACAGACATTAGAGAAGGAGAGAAAACCAGCCGATTTGGTTCTGATCTGTGTGGTTTAAACAATAAATTAGCAATGATTTCACTTGGAGGTGACAACAGCCAAGTGCTCTCATTTTTTATTTAGAAGCAGATTAAGGTCACAGCTGAGCATTAATATCTTTAAAGAATTGTGTAACCCTTGTAAGCTGGCTGGATGAAGGCGTCAGCCACATTAATAAATAATAACAAGTTATAGCATTGCGGTTTTTCACCACTTACATAATGATGGCGCCTTGTTTTATCACTAAATCTTCTGATATCCCTTAAAAGGAGTTGTGAATAGTAACAGCGAAAGAGCTATTTTCGAGTGCAACCAAAGACGAAGCTTTTTTAGGTTATGTTTCTTCAAAACGTTTCAAACTTTAGTTTATGACCCATATCTTTAAAAAACAGCCCAATTCTTGAAATTCTTGATGACCTGATGATGTTTTCCATAACCTAAGGTAGCTGACTCTATATTTATTTATTTTTTTAAACTATTGTTTTAAATACTATATGGGCTATATGATATTAAATCACCATGATTGCTTAAAGCCATACACAGAATTTAAGTTTATGTTGACAAAGATCACCCTGCTGGGAGTTTCTCCCAGACTACCTACTGTATTTGCCTATCTGTCTATTTACACTCGTAGCAAATCAAGAACACACTGTATATTTTGCTCTTAGGAATGATTAATTACACAGAGACCTCAATTTACAGCAATAAATGTCATCTCATATAGCCATCTAACCTTGGTTGGATGAATGGCAATATCCCAGTCCAGTCAGGACCTGGCTCAGTGGACTGAGAGGTGTTTTTTTGTTGAAGGTGACTTCCAATTCAGTGAGGCACAGTGAGGGATGCCTCATGGTGTCTTGGAGACAATTTGCAATTAATATCTTTCATACTCTGACTTGCCACTGTGCTTTTTTTCCTTTCCTTTGTGTTATTTGTTTCAGGGAGTATAATATGCAAGGTAACTGAGCAGATTACCTTTATAGGGAAGATATCTGGAGTGTTCCCGTTCATTCAACGAGCATGACTCTGAGTCCCCGTCGAGTCAAGGCCTCGGCACATGTTCCTACTGTGTGTCACTGACAGAGATCTCCGGTTTCGGAGGAGCGTGTTTAATTGGAATTTGGAGGGGAAGCACTTTAAAAATCAGTGTAAGGATTTAGTTTGTTAATGGAAGAGACGTCATGGAATTCTTCTAACTACTGCTCCGTGGAGCTGTACTACCAAATGTAAGGCACAAATCTCAATTAAGAGAGAGCACATACCTGGAAGCAATGTGCCCGGAAAGAGAACGCTATCATTATTCTATTTCTAAACTGCTCCCTGGGGTGTCTCCATTTGAAACGCAAAGGTAGCATGGCCGGTCTGCAGCAGCCTCTCCATTTTTTAAAAGAGATGATAACATAATGTAATGAAATGTTAATTTACGCTGTAGCTAGGTTTAACTTTCAGGAGATAGGACAGGAATAAACAGTAACATTTGGGAAGGTCAAGCGATGTTACAGTCTCTGGTTGGGTATGCACTGGCAGTAATGCTCCTTAAGGCCCGTGTATTAATTGCACAGTAGAAATGTTGACCTTTCCGCTTAAGGCTTTCAAGGTGTCAGCTTTTAAGTCTCATTGTATTGCAAAACTGGCCATCTACATATAGTAATATGAAAGCGTCTTTCCAGTCTGCTTCAGTGTTAGCCTCATAAGGTGCTATAAATATCCAGCGCAAGAGATTGTGTTTTCTGGATGTTTTAGGGCTGGTAAGGACAACATGATTCCCATTGAATAGGCAGGCAGTAAAACAAGTAAGCCTTTACCCACCCATTCATTTTCAGCCTCCACTTTATCCTTAGAGGGTTGTGGTAGGTGAGATCCTAACCTAAAAGGCACAGGGCCTTAGTCTAGTACCAGGCACGCACTGTACTGTACACATGCGCATCAGGGATTATAGAGGTACCGACTTGCCTTCACATTTTTGGGTTGTGAAAAGAACTTGGGGGGAAAACCCAAATGTTTCCCCACGAACACGCACTCTCTACACGGAAGGCGCCCCAAGTCCGAATTGAGACCAGGATACGAGAGCTGTGAGGTGGCATTGCTTAATGCTTTGTTCTGCCCAAATTAGTCTTTATCATAACGTTAGTAAATACACCAAGAAAATAAGCTTCTATACCTTTAAACAAGAGAGTGTGGAACTGTTCAGCAGTGTGGTACACTTTTCAACAGCGTTTTTAAATACTGCCTTCCTATAAACGGTTAACTAACTTATAAACTGTTAAATGTTCTAATATAAATTCAGGCACTTAATTTACAACCGAGCTGACCTCTCGTGAAATAGCCTAAGCTGTAGCTGCTTGGGTATTTCAACTAATTCACATGCACAGCCATGTCTTTTAGATTGCTAGTTACATACTGGCATATCACATTCTTTAATCTGCTAGGCAAAGAACAGCAAGGATACATATGATGATAATTCATAGATTAAAGTTTGTATACAAATTTGTAACAACCTACAATAAAAAACATTGCATTTCTGAAAGTTACATTACTGATAATTTGGGAAAAATGCTTGGTTCTCTTACACGGGTAATTCATATGCATCTATTATATTGAGCAAAATTTATTTTTATTACAGTAATTTCCAAGGTTCTTTAATTTTCCATATACAAAGCAATTAGGTTTTAGCAGATTTGAACGTTTGTCTGTATTTTGCTGTATTAAAGGGAATGCAAACTGTATATTTCAAACATCATTCACGAAGGTGTCAGACCATTCCTGTGCCCTCATTGGGAATGCAGGAACTATGAAACCTTAAGTATTTTGCCTAATGTGTTATATGTAAGAGTGTGTGATGAATACAGAAGCCAAGACTGTATGTATCCAGTTTCTTGAAGAAGCTGTTATTTTAATTTAGATTCTAATAATAAAGTGACAAAATGATTTCCATGAAAATTTGTAGTATGAATTTAACTTGGAAAAATGAAAGGAAACACTGTGCTTATTCTTATTCTTAATTCCCGATTTTAAAAGGAAATTACAGATCTACTTATGCAAAAAGGTAAAAAAATAATGAGTAATAAAACAACAAAAGTAATAATTTAAATAATTTATGAAGTAATTAATTAAATCTCAGAGATAGAGAAAGAGAAGGGACTCCGGATGTTCTCTCAGTGACGTGACTACCTGGAATTTCTCATTGCAGAATTTGCAGAAACGCCGACATAATGCGTTCAAGTGCTAAAGCAGTCAAATGTGGTTGACATATCTGCAGTCTGAAAATGAGAATATCAGGAGATGCAAAAGAATGCTAAAACAGGTGATAAGTGAGCCCATGTGGCAATATGTGTCAGTTCATTAAAAAATGATCTCTCTCGGAGTTACTGTGGCAGCAAAAATAACAGAGGAAAGGCAGCGCAGAGTGTCTGAAAGGGCTGTTAATTACTGGAGTAATTTTAGAGAGGTTTATGATTTAAATAATATTTAAATTGTGAGAGGAATATTACACGTACCTGTTGGATAAAAACAGTGGCACGTTCTTTTCTCTGAGGAAACGAGACAGAAGAAATATTGTCTCAGGAATTTTGCAGGTAGCTAGGCATACTTTCATGGAAGGTCAGGGCATTTGGAAAATCCAGCATAATACAATATTAAAAGTAAATTTGCTGGGGTTTTTTTTTTTAGGTCCTAGTGAGAGACAACAGAGATAGATCCCTGGAGCACAGCATTAAAAAGCTAATTTAGTCATGTGATTCTTATCTTACCATGCTGTACTGTAACAAGTGCTCTGTAAAGCCACTTTACAAAGTTATGGTGCATTAGGACATAGAGGCAGTACTGAAATAACTGACTGATATTGCATAGAAAGTACACACAGGTAATCATCACATTTTGTAAATAATTCACACCATGCTAACCATACGTAGTGTATTAATTTTGAGGATGGCAGAAAATCTTAAGAAGGTCACAAAAACAACCCGGCAAATGAACATTATGTCTGACAAGACAAAATGTTAGAGACCGTTATAGTAGAATGAATGTCACGGTTATTTTAATAAGGTTAAGAAGAGATGCATCTTCGGTTTAGACTGGAACAGAGAGATGACAGAGACCTCTGTGAGGGTAACAGGGAGAGAGTGCCAGATTATGTCTGTGCAATAGATAGAGCATTGCTCATATGTTACCTCTTAGTCAGTGGTTTTACCAGGAGGCTGGAATAACATAATGGAGCAGAAACATAATGGAGTAGCATATCAGAAAACATAAATGATTTTAATGACCCGGGGATAACAGCTACTATATTAGAGTTCAGTGGCCATACTGTATACTGTATGTGTTTAAAAATGTCTGATCATTGGAATGTCCACAATTCTTTATGTAACTTCATATAGAATTACTGTTATAGTTTGTGTTGGTCCTTTAAAATGCATTGTTTCCTTTTCAAAACAATTTGGACTGTTACTTTCCCATGAAAGTTGTGTGACCATACTTTTGTCAAAACGCCAGCACTGGA